GCTTGAGCCCAGGAGTTTGAGGTTGCTGTGAGCTAGGCTGACGCCACGGCACTCACTCTAGCCCGGGCAACAAAGCGAGACTCTGTCTCAAAGAAAAAAAAAAAAAGACAAAGTATGTCATGACAAAGGGAGCAATGGCAGATGGCTGAGAGGATGAAGCAGCATCAACAACTGCCAATCTAGGCAGTGCAGGTAATAGTGAAGGAGGTTCCATCATCACTTTCTTTGGAACTGATACACTTGGCAAAAGAATGTCTTTTCTCCTGTTTTAAAAAACTGTTTCTTTTGCTTATAGAGGCTCTCAGAGGAAAATTAGAGGGAAGATTACTGATACACTAGTAAAAGAAAAGTAACAGATAAAAATGAGCTAATGGAAGAGTACTAGCAATCCACTAGAACTTCTACTTCTGAAATGGAGTGCCACTCTTCTGCTCTACTTTTCAGAGTACTTCAAATTCATCCTATCAGGCACATGTGGATTTTAGAACTTCTCTTTTTGCAATGCTTTCTTCAAATACTAGGAAAAAGTCAGTGCTATTTTATGTGTATACCAATATGGGGGAAGGTTGAAAACTTTTTTCAATGAACCTTATTTTTTCAAATGAATTAACTGAAGATACTGTAAACATGTTTTATAAACACTGTGATACATGGCTCTGCTTATTTCCTTTTAAAAATTTTGAAATGAGTAAATACATTTGCTCAGATACTCAGTTTAATGTCGTAAGCAGCCTGAAGATCATGCTGTACCAGCTTTTTGTTCTTAAATTTTGCAATAGTCTTTAGCCAAAAGCAATAAAATCTGACCTACTAAGTCTAACTGTTATGAACTGTCTGTAATCTTGTTCTTGACTAATACTATAAGAAAAGTTACTTTCTTTTCTTGGGCATGATGGCTCACGAACTTTGGGAGCCCAGGAATTCAAGACCAGGCTGGGCAACACAGTGAGAACTCATCTTTACAAAAAATTTAAAAATTAGCTGGGCATGGTGGTACATGTCTGTAGTCCTAGCTACTGGGGAGGCTGAGGTGGGAGGATAGCTTGAGTCCAGGAGTTTGAGGTTGCAGTGAGCTATGATCATGCCACTGCACTCCAGCCTGGGTGACAGAGCGAGATCCTGTCTCTAAACGTAAAAAATAAAATAAAATCAATTTGCATTTTTTCTTTTTTTTTGAGACAGGGTCTTGATCTGTCTCCTGGGCCACAGTGCAGTGGCATGATCACTGCTCACTGCAACCTCAAACTCCTGGGCTCCAGTGATGCTCCCACCTCAGCCTCCTAAGTAGCTGAGACTACAGGTATGCACCACTACACCCAGCTAATTTTTGTATTTTTTGTAGAGACAGGGTCTCGTTCTTGCTCAGGCTGGTCTTGAACTCCTGGCCTTAAGCGATCCTCCTGCCTTGGCCTCCCAAAGTGCTAGGATTACAGGCATGAGACATCATGCCTGGCCAATTTGCATTTTTTTGAGTGCAAATCCATATTACCAACAAGAGTCTCCTTCTAAATGGAATGTTGCTTTTATTTATTCTATTTAGGTTGAGACTGCAACCTAAAATTTAAAATAAAGTGCTCATGTTTTTATTTTCAAAACAGTCTTTTATTAACTCTCTGATTTTTTTCCTTGACTTGAGAGTTATTTAAGAGATTTAAGTGAGTGTTAAGTGCTTGGGTAATTTTCTTTAAAAATTAGAATTAAAAATTCTAGCTATTTCAATGTATTATAAAAATATTACTATTAAAAAGTTTGCCTTTGAGAACTTAAGACTCTCTCCTCCATGATTTAATATATCATTATTAAAGTTCCATGGTTGGCTTATTCCTCTGTCACAAATCCATGCTGCCATTGCAATTGAGATTTTGCCCAAGCATCCCCGTATCAGTTGAATCTTTCCTGATCCTTTCCCTCTGGGTAGAACTGATCACTCCCCTTCTTTTGTTCCCGATTCTGTGGTAGCACTTTTTATACATTATTACACACACATACATATATTTTAACATTTCAACAAGTTCCTTGGGTATAGGTTTTCTCTTACTCACTTTAATGTTGCCCGCATCTAGCGGAGTACATGGAAGATACAAATAAATACCTTCCAAATGAACAAAAGAGAAAAATTGCTCTTATGTGCTAAGCCAGGACAGTAGCAATAGATTCCCAGCAGAGAGATGCAGGACAGGCCTGGCACAGCTGGTCATACTTGATCTTGTTTCTATCAGACAGATGAGTCATTATTCACAATTTGTATTTTAATAATAAAAATTTAGAGGCAAAATGTGCTATAATAGTAAAATGGTCACCTGAAAAGATGAAAATAAATTTTATTTACCTAATGTAATCCACTGTCCAGAAGAATCTGAAAGTAACTTCAAATTGGGAATAACATTTGGGTCTTTGAAAAAAGCCTAAAATACAGATTTGAAAGGAACAAGTTAGACTCTTGATTATAAACAATGGTAAATTAACTAAAATAAAATCTCATTTAATTCAAATAGGGAAAAAAGACAATTTTGAATTGGTAAATGTCTAAGTAATAAATGTTTTATAAAGAAGTTTTATTACATTTAAATTGGGACAATATGAACAACATTGTGTGTCGAAGCACAGATGTCTTTGGGATTTAATTTAATAAA